CATATTTTCAAAATAGTCATATGTACATCAAAGGTGCAATATATAGAAGGTCCAATTGGAGGATATACACAATGGAGACGGCAGGGGACCGGAATGAAAACGCAGTGCAAATGAAACACAAAGTGAACAAGGTCACATACGTTGATATGGAGGATGGAGGGAATACACTGGGTGAGAACGGGAAACGGAAAATAAAGGAACAGCGAACCTTGTATCGAGAGGATTCGACGTGCGAAATTAATGAGAGGAAAACACGGATCGATTTTCTGTGAGACTAAGAAATGGACGAGATGGAGACTCTTGGATAGAGGTGAATGGGAAAGAAGGGTACAGCAAGTTTATACAGTTCTGAAATACATGTTTTTCTGTCAGCTGCATAGCAGCTTGCTTCTGAGAGCACATTCATTTGGGTTTCGGGGCTTCGATCGGCAATGGATTGACTTAAATTATTTAGGCGTTGGTCGCTTTGCTGTGGGACTGACTACACGCTAGACACCCAACCTTAAAACACCTTTTGGGTAAGACAAAGGGTGTGATCCTAAACCTGGTCCGGAATGCGGACGCATGTAGTCTGAACGGTGGATACAACCGCTCCCAACAACCATTGCCGGAGCCAAATTGTCCATTGTGGGTGCAGACCCCAAGCCTTCGGCAGGCCCAAACCAACCGATTCCGGAACAAGAAGGCGATACACAACAGTCTGGGATGGTACCCAGATGAGAAGGAGTGGGGGAACAAAACATGTCACGAATAATGTGCTCCGTGGAATAATGCCAAAACTTTTGTGTACCTACAAATATGCATATATATATATATACAGAATCCGAGATGTAATAGGTCAAAAGCATGCACCTACAGTGAATTTGTTCCACAGATCTAGCTTTGAGGCTGGATCCGTGTACTGATATGAAATTGTTTGAGAAAGTGGACAATGCTACCTGGTGAGCATGTGCCACAGGGTTTAACCAATTGAGTCAAACCGATTAGAGCTCAGTGGGAGATAAATCAAGAAATAATGCGTCACAGTGCCTTGACAAGCCAGTACCTACACAGAGTATGTTTCGCAGATCAAGCTTTGAGGTTGGATCCGCGTACTGATAAGAATTGGGTTTCGAAAGTGAACACAGCTGCCTGGTTAGTATGTGCCACGGAGTTGAGTTAAGTGATTCAGATGAAAACCATATTGAAAACATTTCGATTATGAAGGAAGAGGTCACAATACTGCCCTCTCTATCCCGGGTTTCCACCATGTTGGTTTATGACGGGTTCGACCTTCCCTCAGTGGTGCAAACCTTTCTGTGAGGCTAGTTACCCCTCTTTTAACCACTTCCCATCTATCCTGCACAATGCCCTCCGGGGACGTCGGGTACCAGCTGATGGTATTTGCAGCTTGTACCAATTCTATGTCGTTTGTGCGACTATAGAGACGCATAATAGTAGGTCCGTGCCTACGATGGCTAACCATTAGTCTCAAGCGAAGAACTTCGTGGTCACTTTTGCCCAGTGTTTCTTCCGTGTTTAAACCATTCATGTCCGAAGAATACCTTGTGATAACTAGGTCTAGCAGCTAGGGTCTCTGAAGTCCTCGGTATCTGGTTGCTCTTATCACATGCTGTGTCAGAGCTCTTTCTTGGAGAAACTGCAAGAATGCAGCCCCTGTGGATCCCGTAGGTGCATACCACTTTGACCATGCTACCTCCGGAAAATTGAAGTCACTAGTGATGACAAAACGCTGGTATTTCGCCTGCGTTTGTTGTAGGATCATAAGCAACTCCGTATCTTCCTCTGGCATCTTACTCGGGGCTCTATATATACATACTACACCCACTTGCTTCCGTCCTAGTTGAATGCAGCATCCGATGGCTTGGATATTCGGAGGAGCTAACTCCAGCTGCATTGTCCTTTGGTTAAGGTCAGCCTTCAAGAGTAGCAGTACTCCGCCCCACTGTCTGCCGTCAGTTCTGAGCTGCCTATAGCTTGCATACCCGCTTAAATGAGCAACAGGTTGCTCCTGTTTCAGCCATGATTCAGTAATACTGACCATGTCTGATCCCCGGGTGCGTGTTCCTAATTCTCCCCACTTTTCACTAACACTACAAGCATTGGTGAACCACACTGTGATACGTTTTGCTTTCAGATCTGGCCTATCTATAGCATCAGATTCCTCGGGCGTAATACCCGAGTAGCCACCTCGTTTTTTGCTATAACGTTGATGAGGGGTATGTCCTCGGCTACCCATGACAGTCCAC